TGACCCAAGACATCAATCTTTTCCTCATTTACTGCTGTTAACTTTTTCTCACTACGCTTAAGGCATGCATCTTTAAATATGCTGAAGGCTGACTTTTTAATTAGAGTTGCTTGACTTCCGGTGTTCACAAAACTGTCAGTCTCACACCTTCCGCCTTCACTTCAAAGGTAGGCCTACCATCACTAGGCCTACCCCAACCTAGACCTTTCAGTCCTTTGTTTTTACATTCGGACAATTCATCCATATATGTCCGCGCTTTCCACGTGAATAACACGCCCGCGAGTTCCTGTTGTTACCCCGTGCAGGATGGCCTGAAAGTGCAACCGTGGTCGGTTTCTTACTTGACAAACCCGCTCTATAGTCATTGGCCCCCCCCCTCTTCTTTCCATACCGCCTCAACGTATGGGAACAACTGAGCCCCATTCCTCTCCGTTCTCATGCCTATGTCCCATACTGTGGTGATGTGTTGGACGAGTTCCTTGAAACTCAATAATGCCCCTTCCACAAATATGAATGGGCCCATTCTAGTAGGTAAAGCCCTACAGAACAAGTGTTTAGCTAAGCATTCTGCCTGACCCTCATCGTACCCTAGTTCCTGGGTAAGGTCGTCAACCCTACTCATTATCAGGGTACCAAAATCTTTTAATCTCCCGCAGTCTTCCCTCTTAAGAGACCGAATGTATAATTGAGCCTCATCTGCCGGAACTTTCTCTTTATACTTGTCTCTAATCGCCTGGACAAATTGAAGCCACGTCGTTAGGTACCGAAACCCTTTCAGCCTCGCCAGTGGACTAGCTATGTCCACGTAAACCCCTGTTGCAAGAATAATATTTAATCCATCATTTGGGACTGCCTCCAGCATTGCGCTCATTTTCCACAACCAGTCTTCCACTTGGCGGTTGAGTTCCACCTCGTTGGATGGCAACTCTGTATCTATGAGTGTCGGTAGGGTCATCTTTGGAATTAGACTCATAATTCCCGGTGTGTCGGAAGAAAAACTACTGGAATTTGATGACCCCGGGGGCAGGATAAGGTGGCCGAGAGTTGCTAGGACCGAGAAGGGTTGGTTAGATGTGGGAGTTACCCCAGATTGAGGTAGGACTGGGTTGGCTTGGGGTAGGTATTGGAATTGAGGTTGGAATTGGGCAGTCTGGGATTGAGGTTGGGAATGGGTTGTCTGGGGTAAAGGTATTATTGGGGTGGCTTGGGGTTGAAGTAGGTATTGGGTTGCCTGGGGTTGAGGTTAGGAATGGGTGGCCTGGGGTTGGTATTGGAATTGAGGGTAGAAGCGAGTTGTCTGGGATTGAGGTTGGGAATAGGTTGTCTGGAATTGCGGTTATTGTTGGAAGGATTGGAGTTGAGGTTGGTATTGGTGTTGTGGTTGTGGTGATGGCTGAGGTGGATGTCGTGATTGTGGTGATAGTTGAGGTTGAAGTTGAGGTTGTGGTTGTGGTAGTGGATGAAGTTGATATTGTGGTAGTGGTGTTACTTGAGGTTGTGCCTGCTGTGAGTCTGGTACATGTTGTTCTAATTGTACGGGGTTGCGGGTCTTGTACCCTACTTTGCTGAGCGGGACGCCATACCACGAGAAATGACACACCCTGTCCGTCACCCTGTAACCCCTGTTGGAATGGTGTCAATGTTGTAGGGGGAACCCAAGATGGCTCTCCCCCCGTTCTTGGGATGAACCCACTAAGGATTCCCCACTTATATCCACCACCGTGTCATTACTGGAGTGTGAAGTCCCTCTACACTCCTCAGTCACATTCAGGACACGTGTCACCGTCGCCCTCGTCCCACTGAATCCCCCTGTAACGTCAGCCAGGCTGCCTGAGCGGTCTACCTGGCTCCCCATAATATCAGCAGGGGTTCCCTCTAAGCGTACACTCCCTAGGGCCCTTACTGACTGGGTCCCATCCGGGTTAAACATCCTCCAAATTTTCCGGTGCACCATGATTCTTTTAACCACCATACACCTTACACACAAACCCGGGTTCCCACTACAAATGAGATTTTCACAATAACTAGACTCAGAACTTGTCAACCCAATTTCCCCCAAAAATTCTCTGAATTTCTAAAAATAAAAAATTAAGTTGATTATTTGTGAGAGTTGTTTAAGTTAAACCAATTGATGAAGGAGCACGCACTGCACTATTACCAGATTCTGAAGGAATCCTTGGTCGCTTTACTTGAAACTAAGTTGCGTACTTTCTATAAGAATTAAAGAATATTACTTTTATAAAACTTTAAAGAAAAATAAATTAACTATCATGCCGCACTCATGATGGACTAATAATGATAATACAGTACTGGACTCGTATACTAGATAAAATTGAAGGGAACAGAGTGGCCACTGACTCTATTGATGGAGCATTCAGCCGCGATAAGACACAAGTCCCTCGTTTATTTGCTTAAACGCTTAAAAATCAAATTTGTATCTCCGAAGTAAAACAAGGTTTACGTTAATAGTATGCTCTAATGAATAAAACTGACACCTGAGACATGCACTTGTCTTACTAATTTGAATTTCCACCAAAAAACTGTGTTTCTACACAAACTGGACTCTGAAAATTTTATATCACCAATTCTTCAAAAATCTGCTTAAGTGGCAAAATTCACATTACGATTTCCTGATGTTAACACAATAATTATGTTACTGACGCGGTCGAAAGGATAACAATGACACATTGGACATCCACTTTACACACAAATTCGAATTTCTCTCAAAATCCGAGATTCTGGCTCAACACTGGACTTAGAAAATTTTCCACAACACAATTTTCCTCAAAAAATTTCTTAACTTGGCAAAAATCTAATTACTAATTCCTGATGTTAAGGCCATCCTTACGTTACTTGCATGCACTAGAGAATAATACTGGTCCTGGAACGCTCACTTGACATGAAAATTCGAATTTTCACCAAAAATTCAGATTTTAGGCAAAACTGGACTAACCCCTTAACTGCGCGGCCTCCAAATATGACACCCTCCCAGTGCGCAGGAAAGGGGGGTCCGTAAGTTCGTGCGTGATGTCATCATTCCCTGGTCGCCCGTGACATACGCCCCCGGGGTTGGTTGGGCACTCTGGACAGGATACGCAAGTTGCCGCAAATATATTTTTGTTCATTTTCTGCACACAGTTCCAAATACATTTTATATGCTTTTACATGCCAATCCTATGTATAATGAACACGTACACTATATTATGGCAGTAGAACATCCGTACTGTCCGAAGACACTGTGTTACGTGCATGACATGTGTGTACACATATCCGGCACATATTTCCATTGTAGTATGCTAATTTATGTATATATACAGTCTATTTACACACTATACACTATCACACACTATATACATTCACCATAAACACACTCAGAACTCCGCGAGTGTCAGCTGCCACACCCTCACTCCTCCAACATCCAGTCTCTCCTTCACTCCTCCAACATCTTACTCGCCAACATTGCTCCTCCCACCATACTGTTATTGTGTGTATTACACTATTTACACATGTTATGTATACCTATCTACATGTTTTATTCACCAGAACTATGCAAGTAAGCCGGTATTGTGACCAAACTTTACAGTGGCCACCATGCACTGCATGAGAAATCACACAGCAGCCAGCAGACAACACTACGATTACATCACCTCCCTCACCAATATAGCTCCTCCCAACATATTCCTGTTGCTGTTACTACACTATATACACACATTGTATATACCCATGTACAAATGTGTTCACCATAGCAAACCACTAAGCTAGTATGATGAGCAAAACAAGAGTGGCTGCCACACAGTGAGGCTACCTCAATTCTCTCTGTCGCTCCCTCACCACAATTACTCCTCCCACAATACTACGCACGTATGTACATGGGTGTATACACACACATTGCATATACCCATGTACATATGTGTTCATCATAGCGAACCACTAAGCTAGTATGATGAGCAAAACAAGAATGGCTGCCACACAGTGAGGTTACCTCGATTTTCTCCCTCGCTCCCTCACCACAATTACTTCTCCCACAATACCACACGCAGTGCTTATTATCACCACAATCCTGCTGTTATCACAATACTGGTCACTAAATCCTGTAAATACATAATTGACCACAAGTTTATTTTGTAAAGGAACCGAAGAAGTTGTTTGAAGATTCCTAGATGGACGAAATAATATTGTGGTGCTGTGGCTAGCACTGTGAACATCGTGAACAGCATTGAATCACTAATATTTGAATTAGTGATGCCCATATGATGCAATGCCTGTACACAGTCATTATCACACTCAGGCTCTTCTTGTAATACTATCATGGATAAATAAAACAAGTTATATGTATATTTTGACATTATTAGGTGATGCTGTGGTCACAAGCTGACCAGCAGTGCTGTGAGCTCATGCTGCGTGCGCTGGCCATGGTTGCTCAATCACTACTGAGGCTCTCACACCTGGGAATGTGGACCACAATTTTTTTTAAAGATGGCGTTTGTTTACAAGAGCACTGAGGAAGCTGATGTGAACCCCATTTAGCCGCGGGAGTTTTGAATGGAACATGAAAAATACAAATACCCGGAGGCGCGTAGCGCATCCCAGATGTGGGCCTGCAGGCGCATTGCACAGTTAAAGGGCTAAGGATTTTTCCAACCAAATTTTCCGAAAAATTCACTTAATTCTAAAAAATTTAATTCTACGTTCCTGACTTTAAAACTAGAATTACGTTACTGCCACAGACTAAGGAATCATAATGACATTTGGACATCACCCTGAAAATTAATACAGTATCAGCATAATATTTTGGATTGGGGACAATGGTAGTTTGAAAATTTGGACAGCTCTCTATGTATTTTTGGACAGCACTCTATGTTAATGTTAATTTAAGTTATCACCACAATATCCTTGCAATTTCTGATTATTAATATAAAAATCACATATTAAAAATGATATACTGCATTTACTCTTAAACATAAATTATATGTCATTAATTTTCATCTCTTTTTGTGCAGGTACATAGAGAAAAGAATCCTCTGCACGAGTCAAATTTCCTGAAGTCAAAAACAGCTGCATATGTAAAATATATCCGAGAAGAGAAACAAAGAGTCCGTGAGGCACAGCGGAAAGCAAATGACAAAAATGCATCTGTTGACTTAGAAGGAATGTTGTTGAAGCAGGTAAAAGAACAAAGAAATAAAGAAAAGTCAGATAAGGAAAGAAGGGATGATAAAAGAGCAACTGAAGCAAAGAAAGAAAGAATTAAAGACAATGGAAGCATTAGAGGTGCCTCACAAAGATCTGGGTGTCAAGATGATACAAAGTCTGATAATCTCAGTAGCAGTGTTAGTTTGGAAAGACGATCTGATGAGAATCAGGTTCTGCTGCAGAATGATAACAAACTTAAAAGGAAATTGATGGATGACATACCGAGAAGAGGTAAGTCACTGAAAACTGATCAGATTTATAGCAACTGTAACAAGGAAAAAAGTGATACAGTCAAACAAGAATTATCTACAAAATGCAAGCAACCACAAAAACCAACGTGCGTTAAGCAAGATATGTCTCCGCAACTACAGTATTTGTTAGCACAAGAGACCAAAGCTGCAACGAGCATAGTGTCTTCTCAGGAGACAAAAGCTGAGCGTAAAGAAGAGAAACCAGGGGATCTAGTGGCTTTATTGGGTTGCCAGAAAAAAGAAATTGGTGAGGAAACTGAAAACAATACTAACAAAACACAAAAACAACTACCATCGAAGGAGGACAATGAACACACCAGAGAAAATATTAGTACACCAACACTGAATGAGGTCAAGGATATATCATCAACAGAGCATGTCAGTGAACTGAAGAAGCCTACTGTAAAATTTGAAAAGAATAGTAAGTCTATAAATTTTAAAATGGATATCTCTTTGGAGACAGGGAATAAGGAATCTTCAATAACTGCTTATACTGCTGCACCACTTGCTTTAGATCTTCTAAGTATCCCATTACCTTGTCAAAAAATAGTTGTTGACACTTCAACATCATATAATATTCCTTTACCACCTACAAAACAATATGAACCAAAAACTCGAAAAGGTTTACATTTGTCAGTGCCGTCGGGAACTGCAGAAATGTTTATTCATCAACATAATTTTTCTGAAAGTGATGCCAAAACTATGACAAATTTAAAAACTAATTTTCCTAATGAGGAAACAAAAGTTGAGATTGAGGCAGATAAAATGAAAGATCTAGTGGCATTACCAGTTTGCCAGGAAACAGAAATTGTTTCTAAGGAAAATGAAGACAAAATTAACATAGCACAGGAAAAACTACCTCTGGTACAAAACAATAGAGACACAAGAAATACATTAGTATCAAATATTACTAAGGATGGCTCATCAATAGAAACAGTTTGCTCTCCTCAAGAGCATGTCAGTGGGCTCTTTACTATAGAAGAAAGGATGAGTGACCCCGATGGTCTCAAGATCCACGTGTCTCTGGAAACAGTAAATAAAGAGTCTCCTGAATGTACTGCAGCATCTACACTGCATGCTTTACAGCTTCAAACTATCCCATTATCATATAAAAAAACAGTTAATGACACTTTCCCACCATCAAGTATTCCAGTGCCAACTAGAACCAAACAAGAAACCCAAAGCACAGAAAATTTATGTCTGTCATTACCTAAAGATGATACTTCAGGTATTTATGAACCTAAAAACAAATCATGTGTGTCTGTGGCTGTAAAATGTCAGTCACTGATGCCATCCTCTAAACAAGGTGTGCTTGATCATAGCTCAAAAAACTGGAGCATTATCAGCAGTAGTAATGGGGGTCCACAAAATTCATCCTCTGGTATCATAGAAAAATTAAAGTTACCACTTTCATCAGGAACAGAAAAAGTATCTACTGGTGAAGCAGACCTTAACATTACTCCTACACCAGGAGTAGAAAATGAGGGCCTCAATTGCCACTTGACATGTAAAAATGATGCAGTTTCCTCAGTCATGATGTTACCAGATTTTGAACCAAATTTTGTTAAGCTTAGCTCAAAAGTATGTAATGTTGGCAACAATAACCAAGAAGATATTGCAGTGCAAATTCCCATTAGGAGTAAAACAACACTTGAAATCCCTCTTCCATCTGGTACAGAAAATGAGCTGTGTGTCCAAAATATTTCCTGCCATGCCCCTCCATTAGAAGTAGCAGAAAGTATATCATTGCAGAGGGATTTAGATAAGCCAGGTGCTATTTCTCAATCATATATTCAAAAACAAAGTTCAAAAATGTGTAGTTCAAGTAGTAATAGTAAAAGGTTAGACAAGTTTTCCATTTCACAATCAAGTGAAGCATTGCCATTAGGTATGGGTCACCCACAGTGGTCAATCCAACGGGCATCTGGACCCATAGCTGTTTCACTTGCTAATGATCTTGTGAAGTGGAGCTCCTCACATCATACAGAGAAAAAGAAAACACCACCACCTCCAAGCACAGAAAATTTGATCGTCAATGAATTAGATGATGTGCCTGTTGAACTTGGAGAAGCTAGTATGGAATTAAGTGAAGACAGTGAAAGTGAGAGTCTGGATGAAAAGAGAGAAATAACCCCACCACCGCCTGGGACAGAGTCAAGTTCTGAATCTGTAACTGCTAACAACACATCTTGCCAAAATGTAAGTTCCAAAAGCAGTCCATTACCTTCTAGTCTGGAAAATACAGAAAATGTGCACAATATGCAAGATGGTGCCAAGCTGTTTCCTCCTTCAGATGTTAGTAGTAAGGACAACATGTACTTTGTAGAGGGAGAGAAATATGCAGAACTTCCTTCACAAGTTCATCAAGAAAATTATGAAACGTTTGTTCCCCCAGAAAAGATTGTTGTAAAAATGACTTGCAGCAATTCATCCAGTTCTGTAGATATTGTTTCTCACCTTCCTGTTGGGGAACATTCTTCATTACTTCATGACCAGAATGTGAGACCTGATTTAAAAGTTCAAATATCATCTGATGTTAAAATACCAGCATGTAAGCCTGATTTAAATAACCTTCCAGTTACTGATGGTGTATCAAGTTCAGTTCAGCACATTAACACCACGGAGGTGTGTGCACTTGAAGTTATTGATAAGGACAAAAATCTGAAGGCTCCTGAATTTCCCACCCAAAATTTATCTTTAAGTTGTGGCAATAGTGATTCTGCTAAATTTGATTCTGAATCCTTGAAAGACAATACAGCAAGTATGAATTATGAAGCTAAGAATAGTACAAATGAATCTGTAAAACATGGAAGTACAGACACAGTTGGTGAAATTCATGGTAAGAAAACTGAGATTAAAAATCTAGTACATGCAAAAATACCTGTTACTGAAAATATTGGAGAATATGCTGAATCTATTTTATCTCCAAATACAGTTCAAAAGCCTAAGGAAAATTTGTTTAATAACAAATCGGAGTCATGTAACAATTTAGAATTTGTAAAAGGTTTACATGCTCTCTCTCCTAGTGCACAATATATGGATAAAAGCTGGAATCAAAAGTCTGAAAATTCCCAAATCACCAAACAGGATATTATTCCCACAGATATATTGAAGTCCTCATCTGAAGTTACTGAACCTGATCAATTGACAACTTGCAAAGAAGATGGAAGAATTAAACTGGATATAATTGCATTAAAAAATAACTCAAAAAGTGCAAAAACTGAAAAGTTTGAAGTTCATACAGAGGAAGAAGTCAGGCAATATCAGTGCACTCATGATATTACTTGTACAACAATGGAAACTCCAGCTGGTGATCAGGAAGAAATTAAAGTGGAGGAGCTTCAAATATCTAAAATATCTAATGTTGCAAGTGTTGATCACGAGAATAAAATGATGCAAAATATTGAAAAGATTTTAATATCCGCATCTATGGCATTGGAAGAGGAACCCATGATAGAATCTTCAGTGCCCTCTCTTTCAGCAGTATCCACAACTACAGCTTTAGAAGATGAGCCACCCGAAAACCTACCTTCAGTTTTATCAGTATCTACTATTATAATTTTGGAAGATGAGTCCCCCAAAAAACTACCTTCAGTTTTATCAGTATCCACAGCAACAGCTTTGGAAGACGAGCCCCAAAAAGAATTACCTTCAATTATATCAGTATCCACAGCAACAGCTATGGAAGATGAGCCCCAAAAAGAACCACTCTCAATTTTATCAATATCCACAGTAACAGATTTGGAAGATGAGCCTCAAAAAGAACTACACGTACCATCAATTTTATCAGTATCCACATCAACAGCTTTGGAAGACGAGCCCCAAAAAGAATTACCTTCAATTTTATCATTATCCACAGTAACAGTTTTGGAAGACAAGGCCCAAAAAGAACCACTTTCAATTTTATCAATATCCACAGCAACAGATTTGGAAGATGAGCCCCCAAAAGAACTACACGTACCATCAATTTTATCAGAATCCACAGTAACAGCATTGAAAGATGAGCCCCAAAAAGAATTACCTTCAATTTTATCAGTATCCACATCAACAGCTTTGGAAGAAATGCCCCAAAAAGAATTACCTTCAATTTTATCAGTATCCACATCAACAGCTTTGGAAGAAATGCCCCAAAAAGAATTACCTTCAATTTTATCAGTATCCACATCAACAGCTTTGGAAGAAATGCCCCAAAAAGAATTACCTTCAATTTTATCAGTATCCACAGTAACAGCCTTGGAAGACAAGCCCCAAAAAGAACTACCATCAATTTTATCAGTATTTACAGCAACAGCTTTGAAAGACAAACCCCAAAAAGAATTAGCTTTAATTTTATCAGTATCCACATCATCAGCTTTGGAAGAAATGCCCCAAAAAGAATTACCTTCAGTTCTATCAGTATCTACAGGAACAGCTTTGAAAGACAAGCCCCAAAAAGAATTACCTTTAATTTTCTCAGTATCCACAGGCACAGCTTTGGAAGACAAGCCCCAAAAAGAACTACCTTCAATGTTATCAGAATCCACAACCGTAGCTGTGGAAGAGAAAACCAAAATAGAACTCTGTTCTTTCTCATCAACATCCACAGTTACATCTTTCAAAGAGGAACCCAGAAAAGATCTATCTTCTTTCAAATCAGAATCCCCAGTTGCATGTTTCGAAGAGGAACCCAAAGTAGAACTATCATCTCTCCTAACAGTATCCTCAACTATACTTTTGAAAGAAGAGGAGTCAAAACTAAAACAGTCTGTTGACGTTTCTGAAGTAAATACCAAGGAAGAAGAATTTGATAAGAAAATACAAAAGCAGGATCCAGAAGAAGACATTCTTAGAGTGAGGCAGACTTCTAGAATAACAAGAAGCACTGTCAAAACAAATGAATCATTTAGCACGAAACGGCCAACTCCAAGAATGGCATCAAAAAGTGTAAAACGAGCAGTGAATTCAGAAAGGAGAAGTAAAGTAGGTAAAGTAAGAGCAACCAGAGCTACAGTATCTGCTGTCTTTGAAAGAGAGAAGGGTAAATATTGCAGTAAGGTAACCTCAAAAAAATCAGAGAAAGTGATGCGTGGAGAAAATTTACGAGAGGAAGATTGCAACACGTCTCAAAGTAGTGAGGTAACTGAACCGTCAAAAGTTGTTCAATTGAAGGATAAAACTGAGAAAAAGCAGACAGCTTCAAGGAGAGTTACTCGCTCCAACCCAGGAAACGGGAATGAGGATATAAAATAAAATTCATGTAAAGCTAAAGTACCTGTTCATAAAAAAATCAACTAACAACTAGCAACAAACACACTTTTAATTTTTAATTAATTTTTGAAAGATTTTTTTCAGTGTCAGAGTAGTTAATAAAATGGAATGCACTAGGCAGTGATGTGGTGGAGGCTGACTCCATACACAGTTTCAAATGTAGATATGATAGAGCCCAGTAGGCTCAGGAATCTGTACACCAGTTGATTAACAGTTGAGAGGCGGGACCAAAGAGACAAAGCTCAACCCCCGCAAGCACAATTAGGTGAGTACACATCTGAGAGAGAAACAGTAGTAATAAATGCCATTAGATCTGCCTGTAGCAGTAGAAAGGCAGCGATTGCTGCAACAGCAGCCATGACGGCACAAGCACAGGTTTTCCCTCCTTCCTCTTCACCTTCAAAAGAGCTATCAGGGAGTAAGTTAGTGTAAGCTGTAAATATTTTATGGTATAAAGAGCTGCAGAACTGAAGAAACATCCTCCAAATAATAAATAAATTTTTAGAAGTGATAATATATTGTTAGTTAATATGTTAGTTGCTCTAATATTCATTAATGATTCCCTCAAATATTTTGTTCCTTTCGTTAACCTTATTCTGTACAGTATATTCCTTATTTAATTTGGTATTTTTTATTAATTTGTAAATAACTGTAGGGCCATACTGCATACTGCTTTGGTTATGTAAAAATTAACCAAAATTGTATAAAAGATATTTGTAATCTCCCAATTTTTTTAATGTGCAGTCTACAAATAAACATTGTATAATATGTATTAAAATTGTCTTTAAACCCTGCACTGAGCTCTTATTTATAGCTAACACTGCTGCTGTGAACAAGAAAAAAGAAGTTTCATAAGTTTTTCTCTCTAATACTGTTAAAATGCATTCCCTGATCATGGAAAATATAATAACAAAATTAAATATGATTTACCATGGTTATGAATGAGGAAAGAAATCTCACAGTGAAATTGACCAATTCATGCTCACTCCTGTAGTGAGCATCCAACATCTGACAGCGCTCGGTGGTCAACTTGGACATTGATATTTCATCAAATCACCTCACTTGGTGGGGCCACGTGAGCAACACAAATACGAACAAGCTTGAATGGTCCCCAAGCCAATATGCAACTGAAAACTCCACACCCCAGAAGGATTCGAACCCAGACACCCAGGACTGTGTATGTATGTATGTATTATATATATATATATATATATATATATATATATATATATATATATATATATATATATATATATATATATATATATATATATATATATATATGTATATATATATATATATATATATATATATATATATATATATATATATATATATATATATATATATATATATATATATATATATAAAAGTATATTTTGGTAGCAGTCTTTCCTGTAGACATATATTATTAAATATGACCGAAAAAGTAAGATTAATAATTCTAACACGAATTTTCTCAATCTTTCGTACATTACGCTTCACTGTTGGAGGTAAATCAAAAATCACTTCTCCAAAATTCATTTTTATTTCTAGTCTGACGCGACACGGGCGCGTTTCGTAAAACTTATTACATTTTCAAAGACTTCACAAATACACAACTGATTAGAACTTACGTATCTCTGAGTTTATATCTACATTTGAGTGAGGTGGGAAGGGTGATGTGGCATTAACACAAGACTGAACAAGAGGGGATATTAATAGGGTATTAAAAGTATCAACACAAGACAGAACAGAAACAATGGGTATTGAATAGAAGTGTTTGTAGAAAGCCTATTGGTCCATATTTCTTGATGCTTCTATATTGGAGTGGAGTCTTGAGGTGGGTAGAATATAGTTGTGCAATAATTGGCTGTTGATTGCTGGTGTTGACTTCTTGATGTGTAGTGCCTCGCAAACGTCAAGCCGCCTGCTATCGCTGTAATACAGCGATAGCAGGCGGCTTGACGTTTGCGAGGCACTACACATCAAGAAGTCAACACCAGCAATCAACAGCCAATTATTGCACAACTATATTCTACCCACCTCAAGACTCCACTCCAATATAGAAGCATCAAGAAATATGGACCAATAGGCTTTCTACAAACACTTCTATTCAATACCCATTGTTTCTGTTCTGTCTTGTGTTGATACTTTTAATACCCTATTAATATCCCCTCTTGTTCAGTCTTGTGTTAATGCCACATCACCCTTCCCACCTCACTCAAATGTAGATATAAACTCAGAGATACGTAAGTTCTAATCAGTTGTGTATTTGTGAAGTCTTTGAAAATGTAATAAGTTTTACGAAACGCGCCCGTGTCGCGTCAGACTAGAAATAAAAATGAATTTTGGAGAAGTGATTTTTGATTTACCTCCAACAGTGAAGCGTAATGTACGAAAGATTGAGAAAATTCGTGTTAGAATTATTAATCTTACTTTTTCGGTCATATTTAATAATATATATATATAATTATATATATATGTCGTACCTAGTAGCCAGAACACACTTCTCAGCCTACTATGCAAGGCCCGATTTGCCTAATAAGCCAAGTTTTCCTGAATTAATATATTTTCTCTAATTTTTTTCTTGTGAAATGATAAAGCTACCCATTTCATTATGTATGAAGTTAATTTTATTTTATTGGAGTTAAAATTAATATAGATATATGACCGAACCTAAGCAACCCTACCTAACCAAACCTAACCTATCTTTATAGGTTAGATTAGGTTAGGTAGCAGAAAAAGTTAAATTAGGTAGGTTAGGTAGTCGAAAAAACATTAATTCATGAAAACTTGGCTTATTAGACAAATCGGGCCTTGCATAGTAGGCTGAGAAGTGAGTTCTGGCTACTAGGTACGACATATATATATATATATATATATGTCGTACCTAGTAGCCAGAACTCACTTCTCAGCCTACTATGCAAGGCCCGATTTGCCCAATAAGCCTAGTTTTCATGAATTAATGTTTTTTCGACTACCTAACCTACCTAACCTAACCTAACCTAACGTTTTCGGCTACCTAACCTAACCTAACCTATAAAGATAGGTTAGGTTAGGTTAGGTAGGGTTGGTTAGGTTCGGTCATATATCTACGTTAACTTTAACTCCAATAAAAAAAAATTGACCTCATACATAATGAAATGGGTAGCTTTATCATTTCATAAGAAAAAAATTAGAGAAAATATATTAATTCAGTAAAACTTGGCTAATTAGGCAAATCGGGCCTTGCATAGTAGGCTGAGAAGTGAGTTCTGGCTACTAGGTACGACATATATATATATATATATATATATATATATATGTCGTACCTAGTAGCCAGAACTCACTTTTGGCCTACTATGCAAGGCCCGATGTGCCTAATAAGCCAAGTTTTCCTGAATTAATATATTTTTTCTAATTTTTTTCTTATGAAATGATAAAGCTACCTATTTCATTATGTATGAGGTCAATTTTTTTTATTCGAGTTAAAATTAACGTAGATATATGACCGAACCTAACCAACCCTACCTAACCTAACCTATCTTTATAGGTTAGGTTTGGTTAGGTGGTCGAAAAAGTTAGGTTAGGTTAGGTTAGGTAGGTTAGGTAGTCGAAAAACAATTATTTCATGAAAACTTGGTTTATTAGGCAAATCGGGCCTTGCATAGTAGGCTGAGAAGTGCGTTCTGGCTACTAGGTACGACATATATATATATATATATATATATATATATATATATATATATATATATATATATATATATATATATATATATATATATATATATATATATATATATATATATATATATATATTAGTATATTTTGGTAGCAGTCTTTCCTGTAGACATATATTATTAAATATGACCGAAAAAGTAAGATTAATAATTCTAACACGAATTTTCTCAATCTTTCGTACATTACGCTTCACTGTTGGAGGTAAATCAAAAATCAATTCTCCAAAATTCATTTTTATTTCTAGTCTGACGCGACACGGGCGCGTTTCGTAAAACTTATTACATTTTCAAAGACTTTAGTTCACAAATACACAACTGAATAGAACTTACGTATCTCCGATTTTATATCTACATTTGAGTGAGGTGGAAGGGGTGATGTATGGTAAGCTCCAAAAAACCCAGTATATAGGCAAGACAACAACATCTCTTTCTAGGCGTTTAACGATGCATAAGCAACAGGGCTCCATTAAGGAACATATAATCTCTTCCCACAACCAAACCATTGCCAGAGAAATCCTAGTAAACAACACAGAAATCATTGATAGATACAGCGATAGCAGGCGGCTTGACGTTTGCGAGGCACTACACATCAAGAAGTCAACACCAGCAATCAACAGCCAATTATTGCACAACTATATTCTACCCACCTCAAGACTCCGCTCCAATATAGAAGCATCAAGAAATATGGACCAATAGGCTTTCTACAAACACTTCTATTCAATATCCATTGTTTCGTGTTCTGTCTTGTGTTGATGAAATTAATACCCTATTAATACCACATTTTGTTCTGTCTTGTGTTAAGGCCACATCACCCCTTCCACCTCACTCAAATGTAGATATAAAATCGGAGATACGTAAGTTCTATTCAGTTGTGTATTTGTGAACTAAAGTCTTTGAAAATGTAATAAGTTTTACGAAACGCGCCCGTGTCGCGTCAGACTAGAAATAAAAATGAATTTTGGAGAATTGATTTTTGATTTACCTCCAACAGTGAAGCGTAATGTACGAAAGATTGAGAAAATTCGTGTTAGAATTATTAATCTTACTTTTTCGGTCATATTTAATAATATATATATATATATATATATATATATATATGTCGTACCTAGTAGCCAGAACTCACTTCTCAGCCTACTATGCAAGGCCCGATTTGCCTAATAAGCCAAGTTTTCATGAATTAATTGTTTTTCGACTACCTAACCTACCTAACCTAACCTAACTTTTCGGCTACCTAACCTAACCTAACCTATAGAGATAGGTTAGGTTAGGTTAGGTAGGGTTGGTTAGGTTCGGTCATATATCTACGTTAATTTTAACTCCAATAAAAAAAAATTTACCTCATACATAATGAAATGGGTAGCTTTATCATTTCATAAGAAAAAAATTTGAGGAATATATTAATTCAGGAAAACTTGGCTTATTAGGCAAATTGGGCCTTGCATAGTAGTCCAAAAAGTGCGTTCTGGCTACTAGGTATGACATATATATATATATATATATATATATATATATATATATATATATATATATATATATATATATATATATATATATATATATATATATATATATACACACACATACATACATATATATACAAGAGTTCTTACATTCTTGTACAGCCACTAGCATGAGTAGCATTTTGGGCAAGTCCATAATCTTATGTTCTATGGAATACGACCCCGCGAAAAATTGTTTAACAACCAGATACACATTTTACTGTTGAGTTAAACAGAGGCTACAGTTAAGGATTTGCGTCTAGTAAATCCTCCCCGGCCAGGATACAAACCCAGGACAAAGCGCTCGCGAAATGCCAGGCGAGCGTCTTAACCACTACACCACGGGGTGTACCTATTTCCTAAGGTGTGTTCCTTCCTTTGACAGTCCAAAAATAACAAAATATGATTTTTAGCAACACTCCCAGTTAGACTCGGGGCTCGGGGACAGGTGGGTGTGGGGATAGGTATTCACAAGGCAACACAGTTTGCATTACCGGCATTCTTATCCTCGACCAGTACTACCAGTGAATTAGTTAATTAAATACTACCAGAATACCTAAGAGACTCCATTG